TGAGGGAGCCCAGCACCCTTAACCACCATGCCACCTGCTGGCCCAAATAATATTTCTTTTTTTAAAAAAAGGTCAGTGAGGACCAGCAGGTGGCGTGATGGTTGAAGTTGGACTCCAACACGGCCAACCACGATTCAAGTCAAGGCCTGGCAACTGCCTTTCTCACTCTCTCTCTCTCTGGTGAGCACATGTGACCTATAGCAAATTTAAAGTCTTTATTTCCTCTTCTTTCTTTCTTTCTTTCTTTCTTTCTTCCTTTCTTTCTTTCTTTCTTTCTTTCTTTCTTTCTCTCTCTTTCTATTTTTTGAGAGATTTTTGTTATAGAGCATATGTGCTCACCAGAGATACAGAGAGAGACAAACAGAAAGCGAGAAATCACCCCCCAGGGGCAAGGCCACACCACCATCCCTTCTCCATTCTCCTCTTGAGATCTTGGGCACACACGCACATGCACCTGGGGTGAGTTTAAGTCGCCAGGTCCAGGACTGGAACCACAGTCGATTATGTGGGAGTCCAGTAATGCAACCCTTATGTCATCTGCTGGTCCCGGAAATTTAAAATAATTCTTAAAAAAAAAAAATTCAGTGGAACCTGCAGGAAAGGTAGTAATGGAAGCAAAAAGAAGAAAAAGAGGGGAAAATGGTGTATATTACTTTTCTGTTTCCACCTACATGGAAAGAGAACCATGGGTGCACTCTTGCGATCTCTCACCCTCACTCACAAATTCCTACACACGCCTGATGTACGCTTGGGCTACACATGTACACACAGAGACCGGCTGCTGTCTGTGGCCATTTTTAGTCAGGACAATCACCCTTCTTTTAAAAAAATATATTTTTTTAGAGATTTTTTACTACAGGGCATGTGTGCTTGCTGGAGAGACAGAGACAGAGAGACACAAAGCAAAAAATCACCCCCCCCCCCCGGGGGAATGGCCATGCTGTAATCCTCTCTCCTCCATTCTCCTCTCTTGGGATTTTGGGCATACACAAACATGCACCCAGTGTGAGTTTTAAGCCACTGGGTTCTGGACTCAAACTGCTGGCAACTATGTGGGATGTCACCCTTACACCATCTGCTGATCCCAGAACAATCACCTTTCTGGCAACTGATCATAATCAGAGCAGACCAAGGAAACTGTATTCTCGGTTTTCTTTTTTTAGATAGAGTTTTGCAATAGAATGCATGCACTCACCAGAGACACAGAGAGTGTGAAAACGAGAAATCACTCCCGGGGTAGATGGTCACCCTGCAATCCCTTCTCCTCTATTCTCTTCTCAGGATTTTGGGCATGCATGTACACACACCCGGTATGAGTTTCAAGCTGCCGGGTCTGGGACTTGAACTGCAGTCAGCCATGTGGGAGTCCAGCACCTTAACCACTAAGCTGTATTTCTAACCCTGATTAGGTACAACTGGGCACACCCAGTGAGAAGAGGGGAGGAGAGGAGGAAGAAAGAGGTCAGAAATCAAAGACTTCACAACCCAATTTTCCTGTCCTAAAATTCTTGAATGACCTCAGAGGAGGGAAGAAGGGGACTAAGCATGATAACCTTTTGGAACCACCTCAGATTAAGGGCCCCAGAAGGGAGAAGGTCTACTGATACCAGTTCTCCATCATCTGGCCCTCTGGCACCCCAAGAATGAGCTGCTAGGTCCCTTTTGCCTTTGGCATGGTTACAAGTGAAAAGCCTTGTCTGGTGCCACCAACAGTGTCAGGCCTATGGTCTTTGGCAGGTGTTGATGGTCAAATGGGATGGGGAAGGGGAAAGGTCCCTGCCTCTCCTTTCTACTCTGAAAGTCTGACTGGGCCAGGGCACAGGGGCAGAAGGTCACATTCTCCATCCCTACTCCCAGCTGTTTCCTGCTCAAAGCTACCTTGAGACCCTCTTCTCAAAGAGGTGGGACAGCCACACTACTGGCTTCTCCTGTTACTCTTTCCTCTGGGTGGAATAAATTCCTGATCTCTGATTCTTACTCTCCCTCTCTGGCCAATATGTGTTACAGACTCTAAAAGGCCACGTCTGGGGGGAATAGAGCTCTTGTTGTTTTTCAAGTGGGGACATTTTGAAAGATAGTGCCCAGCACGTTCCAGGTGGAGAAATTGTCAAGGGCAACCCCACACATCCTTTGACTGGCTCTAGGGAAAGGTCTCTTAGAGAGTCTGAGCTCAACACTATCCAGCAAAGAACAGTATTTGTGTGTCGGAGAGGAGCTTAGACGCTCTAAACCTGAGTGAAACCGAAGGCTTTTAAAATCAGGTTCCAGAATTCCCAAGCCTTATTCTCATTTGAAAACGTTAGAAATGCCAATTGATCTGGGGGGTGGGAAGCGAGTGATGGTCAAATCTACACTGGTGGAGTGGGATACTAACGTCATGAAAAAGTCCACTTCGCATCAGCTGTCCTAGTAGGAAGGACGACCCCAGCACCACCACCAAAGGTGGAAAACCTTTCTTTCCATGGAGAAGGTTCCACCTCTAGATAGTATCTTTGCCCGAATCCTTTTGCCTCTGGAGGGGGATCTATTATTCATTCTCCTTTCTTCAAGGACTTTCTCTGAGGATTTGTGCCACAGAAGCAGTGACCATCCAGGCAGCCGGTGGAAGGCTGACCGACCGTGTCTGCTCCGCAGGGCTGCAGAGCCGGGCGCCCGCTGCACCGCAGAGCAAGGGCTTGGCTCCGAGCTCCAGGAGCAGGGCCTGGCGACCCGGCGCAGAGGCTGGGGTCCGTCCAGAGGCAGGGCCAGGCGACCCGGCGCAGAGGCGGGGGTCCTGGCTAGTTATGATTTGAGGGAGGGTCACACCCGAGTGCAGAGTCTGCTGGGAAAGGGAGCCGATGGAGGGAGTCGACCTACGGGCCGGGTAGGGCTTCGCTCTGGGCAGGAGCGCAGGAACGCGGCAGGAGCGCTTTGTCCTCAAGTCCTGCGGAGGAATCTTGCTCCTTAGACGCCTGTTCTTTCGCGCGCAAACTCGGTGTTCGCAAGCCAAGAGGCCTGTTTCTTGAGATTAAGGGAGACAGGATATTTAGGACAGGCAGAGGGCCTGCGTCTCCTCCCCTTGGTGAGCCGCAGTGCCAGGGGCCCTCGGTTTTGCGTGTTAGGGACGAGAGGAAAGAGATCCAGGCTGTGAGCCCTCCACGCCCGGGCTGGAACCAGCGGCTGTCCCGCGGGCTGCTCTGCGGTCCAGGTCCCGCTCACTGCACCGAGCGGCGGCAGCGCAGGGCTGGGCAGGGCCCTGAGCTCCGCCTCCCTCCGGTCAGTCCTGGCTGGTGCTCAGAAGGGAGCTGAAGGGCCCTGGGATCCTGAAAGGGGTGTTTTCCTTCCTGTGAGCCTACTGTGTGTGTTGTGTGTGTGTGTGTGTGTGTGTGTGTGCGCGCGCGCGCGCGCGCGCGTACGCGCGAGACAGATAAAGAGAGAGAGAGCGCGCGAGAGCGCAAGGGCTCTGGGCAAACAGCCACTTCTCCCGTCTCCTTCCCAACCTAGCTTCTGGACAGGCTGACAGCCCCAAACGCACCTGGTGAGGTTTATGTCCAGCCAGCCCAAAGTAAATCAGACCCAAAGTTGTGTGTGTGTGTGTGTGTGTGTGTGGGCAATTCCTGTGGCTTGAACCTACAGGTGGCACCTTTATGGAAAGTGATTAGAACTCACACCCTCACACCGCTGTGTATCGGTGGGACAGGCCGCAGGGAATGAGTCCTGGTTTCCACTTAGCAGCTGGTCTCACCTCTCCCTCAGAGGACAGGCCAGGCTGCACTGAGGGGACAGCTAGTTGCCCTGCTGAGACTCCTCTGGAATCAGGCTTGCAGGAACTAACTCCACAGGGAGGGACTAGGAAGTTGCCACGTTAGGCGAAAGTTAGGGAGACCTGAAAAGAAACAAAGCCACGGTCTGGGTGTCTTTGGGTAGGTTTGGAAAAGTGAGATGATAAACCTTTGGACAGAAGACGTCCTTGTCCTTGACTTTTTGTTTCCTCAGCGTGGAGAGAAACCAGCCGATGACTCGAGGAGGCCGGCAACCAGAAACACTAACCTTTCTAGCCACTACCCCGTTATTTGTAAGTTTCCAAGTGTTTCTGCCCTGTTTGACGGCTTGTTGCACTTCCTAAAAAGTATTGCAACTATGCAAATTCCTTCACAGAATATTTTTAGTACTGAGGAAAGTGAGGAAGAGAAAATAAATACCAGAAAAGGGATTTTCACCCCTCCTTGCTAAATACCTGTCAGTGTCCATGTCTCTCTCAATGGGCTGCTTTATCCTGCCGACTGTGACCTATTCTAAGGAGGGGGGGGTACTATCTGGCACCCTAAGGACCAAGGGTGTTATCTTGGCAGAAGTTTTTTACACAGAAAACCTAGAGTCACAAACGCCCTCAGCCAAGAGACCGACTTCACCAAGTTATAGTCAATGGTTTTCTGTCCTCAAGACAGTCCCCACCAGCCTTTCTCTTGATATTAGGAGCACAAACATTTCCAATTGAGATTTTGCTTCATTTATTTAAATAAATATAAATATAAATTGTATATAAAACTATTCACATACAAAACGGCTTCCAGTGGATTTTAAACTCTCCCCAGGCAAGTTTTCAGAAAGCAAGACCTACAGGGCTTAATTTTCTAAATTCATTGTAACTTCAATGTTTCCATTTAAAAACAACAAGGACAGAGCAGAACCAAGAACCCCCATGTTCTTACTGGGTTCTGAAAGACAGTGGGGGTGTAGGAATGACTGCACTTTCAAAAACAACGTCCATTTGTGTTCAACTTACACGGACCCTGTTTCTCCTCTATGATGAGACTGAGTTATACTCTAGATTATTTACATTTTTAAGAAATCTATAGCTTTGAGGGGAGCCTCAAATAAACAAGTCAAGGAGGAGACTCGAAGGTCAGGTCAGGCTTGTCACTCCAGGATGTCTTGGGGGGGGCCCTTCTCCAGACTCATGGTGTTGATGACAAGGATTTCCGCCCTTGGGTGCCCCCCCCGTGTTGGTATTTGGGGGCTGTTAAGGGCCATTGGTGTGATGGGGGCGGCCCTCCTCATAACGGGGAAATCTCCTTATCCTCGTTGGCGGATGCTGGCGACAAGGAGTCCTCGTCCTCTGAGCGCGCGTAGTGCGCCTGGCCACCGACGCACTTGCAGCCCGCGTGATTGTTCCTCTGGGTGCCTTTCCCCTCCTTCTTGTGCTTCACTCGGCGGTTCTGAAACCAGATCTTCACCTGCTTCTCAGACAGGTTCAGGTACGTGGCGATTTCGATCCTCCGCAGTCGAGACAGGTACATGTTGGAAGAGAATTCCCGCTCTAGCTCCAGGAGCTGCGTGCTGGTGAACGCCGTCCTCATTCTCTTGCCATTGGGGACCTGGCTGGCGTCAGAGCCTCCTGCGGACCGGCCCAGAGAGAGACAGAGGTAAGACTCGGCCAAGGCGCCCCACCCTGCTTGCTGTCCCTTAGAGAGGGTGCCGGTCAGGGCCCCACCCCAAAGCCCAAACTCTGGTATCCCACCTCACCCTTTCCCCTTGTAAGGCATGTCGTTCCTTAGCGGGGTAGGAAAGGGACACCCAAAACCAGTGGAGGCCTTTGACTCTCAGGACATTAAGTCCAAGAATAAAAGGGAGGAGCTGTGTGCTGGGCACACTGCGTGACCGCCCACCCCCCCAGCCTAGGCGTGCTGCAAGTTTAGTCGAAAGCGTCGCTTCGCTTTGGCCAGCCCTACAAACGGATGCCACACTGAGGTCCAAACACGCCCACCCCAAACCTAGGTCAGTTTCCGTGTGATTTCTCTGCCCTCGCCTTCGAGGTCTCAAAGGCCTGGATATAACGTGACCTTCCAGCACCCGGTGCCAGGAGCGAAGCGCACCATTGCTTGGAGAAACTGGCAAGCTCTAACTCCCAGCTTCGTGGTGGCACTTCTGGGGGCAACGCTACAGTTCCACTCAAGGTCCCTCCTCCCTCCCCACCCTGTCCCAGGGCTCCCACTTCCTCCACTGGAGGCGGAAAGTTTGCTCCCAGGAGGGCAAGAGGCGCTGCGCGCAGGTGCCCGGAGATCCCGCCCTACCCATGGAGAGGCAGTGGAATCTTCGCGGGTCCGCCACGTTGTAGGTGGTGGCGGCGCAGACAGGTGCGTGGTGCGGCGGGTGCCCCAAGGC